CGCAGGCGATTCGCTCGTATGGCACAAATCATATATCGGGCTGGTGCTCTTCGGGGACCAGAACGTCGGCGGCTGCACGGTATCGGCGAGAACCGTTGATTTGCCTTGTAGCGTGTGCCCAGTGACGACTCGACGAACAGCAGGAAAGGGAGACGAGGACATTTTCAGTGGGTAATGCGATCTAGCGCGAAGTTTATACCTTCTGCGTGCGGAGGCCGGAAGCCCGCATCCGACGGGTAGAATTCCGATTAGGTCAGTGTATTGACCAAAATTTACAGTTCCGTGTGACCGTGGCTGTTCATCTTCTTCTCGTACCACCAACATCGTCTCAAGGATAGCCCTTGATGGAAGGACTAGATCCCCGAGAACCCGATCCACAGGCTCTACAAGCCTTGCTTGCTTCCAAGCAACACGACGACGCCAGTAAAGGTTCGGAACACCTACCCCGCCTGTTAACGTTGCATTCAAGTTAACGTTCATTCCAGTCATCATACTGCTCAAAGCAGTCGGCAACGCCCCGATATTGAAGCAGCAGCAGTTCACCATGTCGACCACCCGTTCGTTCCAGGCGATAATTAACGCTCTGCGCACGAAGTTGGGGTATCAAGCGCGCGAACCACTTGTATGTTTGATTGCTGGAAGCTGCCGGCACTGCGTTTACAACGTTTACAGTTCACGTACATCAACAACGCGTTTTGCCCCGCCCCAGACGAAAATGTCGGCGATTTGTTCAAGGTTGGTTTGTGAAGGGTGCTTGATAGACGATTAATGTGGATTCTGCAGAGCTTCGGGACGAATGGGAAGTTGATCGTGAACTATAGGTTGACGTTATAATTCTTGACACTGAGAATACAACATGCTGACGCGATTCCAGCACTACAGTCGCTTGGGGATAAATATCATCGCATTCCGCCTTCAATTGCACACTGGCATTTTACAGACTATTTACCTCGCACTTTCAACACTCACGAAACTCATCGTGACCGTTCCGGCCCGCCGACGCTCCCGCTCCTCCCCATGTTTCATCGCGGAAAAGACAGATGCGGCGCACGCCAATCCAACGATAACCCACTGGCCCCACTGTCCAATCGCATAAGGCTTCTCTGACGGCAGCACTCCCTTTGTCCTTTCCAACTGCCACTCGCCTATGATGAGTTGCAGGAGCAAGGCCATCGGCGCTGCGACGAGCAGTAGCAGGGTCACAAACATAATAAATGCGTCGTCTCGAGTAGGCGGGCGATGCTCGAGCGCCGAGAACCCGGTGAAGATATCGCCGTGTGTAGGGCGGAAGATCGCGTTGACGGTCATGACTACAATCCCGGTTGCGCAGACACAGCCAACCAGGATGCCTGCTGACCACAGTAGCCCGAAGATGTGAAAGGCAGTGATGGAGGAGCTCAGCATTTGGGCTTCGCCGAGATCGCGAAGGATAGACGACTTTCTGGTACACAATGCCGCGCATTCGGTGATGATCGGAGACAATGTGCGTATGGAACCGTCGGATAGTGTTGTGTTATGTGGAGCGCAGGGCTCAATAACGGTGGAAGATGTGCCCAAGGAGCACATGAACCCAACAATAATGAGCATGGCCCATATGCAGACGACGATCACACTGGAGGATGTGTTGCCAGTGTGAGTTCGGAGGCGAGACCAACCCATCAGAAGAGGGGCAGAGAGATAGAGGCTGACTGAGAGGATCTGGAATATAGGCAGTCCATCCAGGTCGATGGTGCCCGTTTGAGACGCTTGGCACGATGCAACGAGGATGACGACTGCATGAATGGCGGTAGCACCAGCATATGCCATTGCCGCACCCAAGAAGGGCCCTACCAGAAATCAAATCAAGTCAAAGGAGTTATTGCAGGGGTATGCATACCGGTCATCCAATTTGATGCTGTGAATAAGCCAAGGATGCCGAAGAAGAACAAGAAATACAAGAGTAGCCTCTGCATGACATGATACGACCCGCTCATCTGGTACGCGCACAAGAATGTGGGAGAAGTAGTTGTACCCCAGAGACTGCCGCCAGAGGAGAGACCCCGGTCGTCGCCAAGAGTGAGCACAAAAGAAGCCCCAGGCGAGATTGACGGGTACCAGTCGAAGCCAATGCCTTGCCCGTGCACCTCGGTGATATTTGAGATTCTCCAAAGCGTCGATCGCATATCCCAGGTGCCATAATGGGAGGGCGGCTGTTCACTTTCACCCAGGGTGGAAGGAAGATCAATCTGCGGTTGTTCACCGAGAGTGGTAACATGGAAAGTAACGTTTCTGAGAACAGGGTCAGATTCACAACTAGCCAGTAGACGGGAGTCATTTACCCAATGGCCGCCCCGAGATCCCACCAGATTCGATTCGGTACACCGATGACAAAGTCCGTGGACCCAGTGCTGAAGTTGAATGGTTGTGTGTATGCCGGTCCGCCGCAACGAGTAGGATTAGATAGTCGTCTCTCATCATGCAAGCTCGCCGTTAGCCAGCCCGTATCCGACTCGAGCGAATCCATCCACTGTAGTTGATGAGTGGTTAGGTAGTATTAGTCGAAGCAAAACTGACCGCAAGCCAGAAGAGATGGCTAGGATCTTCCGGAACAACGGCCGAGAAGACAAAATTATCCCCCTGCACTTGGCCTGCTACTGCCCAGGTCTGATCCGGTGCGTATGGAAGCAGAACGAAGGTGTCGGCATTGCTATTAGCTGAAATACCGAGCGAGACATTGCATGAGCTGGGAAGGGAAAAAGACCTCGAGGTTGCGGCGAGGGCGAGGGGGAAAAGGAAGAGGGTAGGGTGCATCAAGCCTCAGAGACCAACCGCAGAGCCTTTCTATAGCGTAGGATGGCTTGGGAAAGCTACTCTTTGCTGTGCGGATGAGATTGGTCCGCAATAATAGACGATGCAACAAAATGATACATCTGGTGGAGAAATTTCTTCTTCGATCTGAGTGGATTGGAGCCGCCGCGGCGTACGAGAATCTTGAATTGCTCATGCTTCTGGTTTACTTTGCCGTTAATGCATGGTACGAGCGTCGATTAGCTCAGGCGTGAGAGGATTCGAACAGACCGGAGTGCTGAGGTGGTCCAAGATCAAGTCGCGTCGCTCGGCGTCACACGCTCAAAGCTTACGTCCCGCCATCATGGCCAATCACCTCACGATTCAGGTCTCCATCCACGGCGAGTGAGTCTTTCCAGCTGTATTTCCCGCACGTTTCCCACCTCGGCGCCTCCAGTAACGACCGCCGTTGCGAAGTGCTCCTCAAAAAAGACATTCCTGAGCAAGTACAGGACAACCTCATGCTCCTGGATGGATGGGCACAAAAGTCTGTCATGGCAATCGGTCTCGACATGAAGCACTCACAGCGCTGGTTGTGCGAGATTTGTGGTAATATCTCCATGAGGCTTTCTACTGTCGACTGACGATATCTTGATTCTTCGAAGGAGAACCCGCGAGAGAGGCGGTCTTCGACCCACGACCGAACTTGCACCTGGAAAATCCATCTGTGTTATTGGATGTACGTCTTTCTCTCAGTCTTCCTCCCGTTAACAAATCTTCTTTCCCTAGATCCACCACCTCTGTGGAGCTCGAGGCGGTCCTTGCCACATCGCAGTACAAGAACGCGTCCGGCAACGCGCACTTGCAGCCGGAACTCTGCCTCCGCCCTCCGTGGACGTCCAGTCAAAGGAATCCAACCAGAAAATACCCCTCGCTAGCTCTTGTGCGAAATGCCAGCGCGACGAAACAGGCGCGCCTGGGACTTCGATGAACAAATGCAGCCGCTGTAAGTTGACGAGGTGAGCATCGGATTTTGTCTGGACTCTGAGCTGCCGCTAACTCTCGGGAATAGATATTGCAGGCAAGTTTATTTCTTTAGCGTCCATAACCGTCCTCACACGTTCACAGCGTCCAATGTCAAACGCAAGATTGGACGCGACATGGCAAGGTACGCGCCCAGGAACTAGCTTTACCTGTGATACCACCATTTTTAGACGTGCAAGATGATTCACGAAGTCCAATGGTTCAACTGGAAAGACAACACACCGAAGCCCAACGACGATTCCGAGGTGACCTCACGAATGCCAGGCGCATTCGTCTAAGTAGGAAGTCGTTCTTTGTTTGGGTGAATGATCAAGATCGTAAGGATGCCTTCGTCGGTATCCTCTCATTCGGAGAGGTCTTGCGGTTCCTGCGCTATAGCGTTGCCAATACAACTCAACACGCTGTACCTTTGCATGTGAATTCTTGCCAACACATCCGTCGGCAGTATATATTTGTTTCCACTTGGTTAGCCCCTACTGTAGCATAAAACTCGGCCAGGTGGTACTCGTCAGCGTGGACTATAAAGGCACCTCGATTCAGCAGAAACATCCATTGACGGTATGGGCAACGCATCACAGCCGATGGCAGGCCTCCGAAAACTTCGCAGTGGATATCTTCAGTTCAAGAGTTCCTATTGAGATTTGCTCTGATGCAAGGGAAGATACTATGTATAAATACTCACATGAATAATTTCAAGATTTTACGGTGCCGTATTCCGTCGAACGAACCCTTGCCAGTTCTAGTGGTGGTTTGGGCTAATTCAATGATATCTTGACAGGGAAATTTCGCAGCGTCAATTCCTCTGATAGAAAGATGCCCCTCGTAATTCTGGACAAGGTGTATTTTATTTCACAGTAATTACCTTTCTCTAAAAGAGCTTACCTCGGATGTCAAGCAAGCTTGACTGCACAGCTCTTAGCGACCGCACTCCCTTGTTGGATTACACGTTGAGGCTGGCGAACGTTTGCGGCGAGCGAGGTCAGTCCTCTGTGATGTGTTGGCCATACCCAGGTAACATTCATCGAAGGCTCTGTTCAGGTAGTAAGTACGCTGGCTGGCTTCTAACAGAGACTGCTCATCTGCTATGTTTATTTCAGAAGGTAGAAAAAGGCCACCAACGCTTGGAAGCAACGGTGCAATGTCTGAGGTTTCACTTTCCTATTCCCCGCTCTGTTCAACACCTTATTCACTCCTCGTTGGTGTATCGGTAACATATGAGCTTCTCACGGTCACAGTGTGACACGCCTTGCATAATCAAAGTCGCTCGAGCGCGGGGTTCGATTCCCCGACGGGGAATCTTTTTTTGTCCTCAACCCGTAACAGACAATCCAGCACCCAACAAAACTTGGACAGTTATCTCAGCTTCCCCTTGAGATATGGCCCCAACTTTTGCTTCATAACTATCCTCAGGATGTTCCCTGCCCTCCACTGTCAATGCACCCAAAATCCAATGAAATCTGGGGACACGGAGTCGCGATTAGACAGATGGACTTGATGGAAGAGATGCTCGCCTTAGACGAGTTCTTCTCATGATTCCATTTCTTTTCGTACAGTCGGACGCGAGAGGGTGATACCTCTCTATCGCGCTACTAATTATCGTTATCGGGTAAGAAATGCGAATTTAATCGCGGATTGTCTGTGACATGCATAATGCAGTAGCGCGAACCTTGTTCTGCGTTGCACGTCTTGAATACGGTATCCTGCTTATCCGCGGGCAAAATGCAGGCCAAGTTGCAATCTATTGCATCCAATATGCAAGCATTATACTACTTACTTAGTCATGATGAGCGCTATAGCACTGGCATGCATCCGACTCGCATAACCCGACAAGGATCGCCCACACGAGTCGGAAGTTTCCTGACTTTAAAATTGTATCTCATTCCGGATGCAAGCAAGCTGCATGTGCGATGTTTATTCAGACAAATCACCAGGACTCCGTCTCTGTCAGCTCAGGAACCCGGAAAACGCTCCAACGCTAGGCCAAAACCAGTATCAAACGGATATTTCTCCGTCTTGTCTCGCATCGCACTAGTAGCGGGCGTATCTCACGCATGTACCTGGACCCGGAAAGTTCACATCCCAAGATGCAAATGTGTAGCAACCCCCCCGAATCGCGGAAAGCGCTCACGCACGAGCATGGAGTACCCGTGGTCAATTTACCCGCGACTATTATTGGTGTCATTGACATTCAACAGACAAGACGCGTATCCGTGGTACAGATTTCTCCAAAAATACATTACATTCATTTTTCATTTCACTCGAAAGCAGCCAGCAGTCTACGTATCTAATCCACGCACAGAAATTACTACTAAAAAAAGGGGAAAAAAACACGAACGCGATACGGACAGTATGTATGTATGTACACTACGAGTATCGAGCAGACGAATCGCGAGAACTAGTCACACCAGACAACCAACAACCAAAACGCCTACTGGAGCTCAACAGCCCTCGCCATGGCCCTCGCGTTAACATGCACATGTGCCGCGCGTTCGCCGACCTCCCAACACACCTCCACACCCGAGATCCACGCAGAACCGAGGACGTCCTCGATGGTTGCGCGCGCCTTCGGATCCGGCTCGAGCATGCGGCGAATAAGCGGCCTGCAGGCACGCGGGGACAGGTTGTTTATCGTCGGAGGGAAGAGCAGCGCGGGGTTTGAGCGTGTTTCGGAGGCAGTGGGTGTGTGGCCGTTTGCTGTCGGGCTGGTGGTAGGTGCGGATATGAGGGGAGGTGCTGGTGTGGAAGCGGCTGCAGTTGCGTAGGAGGCATACAGCTGGTCGGTGGGTTGTGCCGCGCGCCAGGGGAGTTCTTGAAAGTGCAGGCAGTAGTACACGATCCCACACGCCCAGATGTCGACGAGACGAGCGTCGTAGGCTGCGCGGACATTAGACGAGCTTCAATGGCATGCCCGATCACGTACGTTTGCCCAGGAACTGCTCTGGTGCGATATACGGCTCGCTCCCGCACAACCCCGTCGACATGTGGATGGTGCCCTCCCACGGTAACCGATACACCGTCGACGCTCCATAGTCACCGATCTGAATCACTTAGTCAGAGACGGGCGCAGGCACGACCCTACGGACCTTGAGATGCCCCAGGGTGTCGAAAAAGAGGTTTTCTGGTTTTATGTCGCGGTGGGCAACACCTTGCGAGTGGAGGTAGCCGACACCCTGCAAGATTTGCTTGAAACAGCATTCGACCTCGCTGGGGGACATGCCGCCCTTCTTGATGGCAGCGTAGAGGTCGCCTCCGGGACAAAACTCCATGACCTCGCACCACTTTCCCTGCTCGTCCTGGACTAGATCGACCGTCTCGACGATGTTGACGTGGTGGAGCGTCGAGCTGATGCAAAACTCGGCGGTGAGCTTCTTGACGTACTCCTTCTCCGTCTCGTTGCGACGGCGTTTGCGGAATTCCTGGAATGGATGTATGAGCGACTGGATGAAAATGCTCAAAAAAGCTTCGCACCTTGACGGCATACATCTTCTCGCCCTCGCTGCGATCCCATTTGTGGGCCAGCCGCACGACAGAGGTAGCACCCTTGCCGATGGCGACCTAGTCCGATGAGAAAGGATTTTCTTCAAAGAAAACACACACCTTCTGGCAGACACCGTACTTTTGGGTAAGACTCCCAACGCTGTCTCCACCGCCAGACTTTGCGCTCTTTGCCTTGTGACTCCGCTCGCTGCCGCTGTCTGCGCTGTGACGGGAGCTCGCACTGCGAGCGCTGCTCTTTCGGGAGAGCTTGGGTCCATTCGCAAGGAGGTCTTTGAGGGTGAACTTGTGGGACGTCTGGGATGCTTCCGAGGTGATGGAGGCTGCTCTCGACGGTGCTCGAACTGCGGGGGTATTGGGAGCAGATGCTGAGACGGCCCGCTTGACGGATGCTGGCGGCGGAACGGGCGAGTTGGGTGCAGACACCAGCGTTGCTGACGACGATGTGTTTATCGGACCAGGATTCGTTTTGCTGGAGGTCTTTGCGGCGAGGGTCTGGTGGGTGTGGCCAGGCTGCTTGTCGTATGCGGATGAGTCGGGTGGGGGAAGGGGAATACTGGACATGGAGGACGGAGGCAAGGAGGTAGGCTGGAAGGAGTTGGGCGTCGGGTCGACACTCCGGCTTCAATGGAGTGGGACCATGGCCGGGGCTGGATGAGTTGTGTGGTGTCGCCCTTTGGCAGCTTGCGCGAATTACGCCAGTTGCGGGAGCTTTATGTCCGAATCCGTATTTGATGCATATTTATTTGTCACTATTCTCGGAATATTCCTTTTCATCCCCGAGCCTGCTCCTCGCGACTTGTTCGCGACCCCATCTCAAGGTTCGTATGCCAAGGCCTCCATGTCGGCATCTGCTAATGCTATGTGTAGTCTATCAGATGAAATGAACGGATCACCCAGCCTGAGTGCTTTTCTTGGCCGATGCTTTTCAAGTTCGACGAGACCACAGCGGTATTCTGACATCCTCGTATCCTCCCCAACTATCTACTGCATCCACTTCCCGCGTCGCTCTTCGGTTCTTCCTCGGCAAAGTATCCCAAGGCCCGAACGCATTGACGCGCCAAGCCGCCAGAAAAAGCATCTTCAACTTGGCTCTGGTTCTTTGTCTTCGTGGCAGCATTAACTTCGACCGCAAGTCGCCGCGCAAGCATGAATGAACTCGCGCCCGACTAGTAATACTGGGCGTCGACCGGCAAGCGCATCCGGTCAAGCTCCACCCAACATAATGGAATGCTATACTAGGTCCAGGACCATGCAGACTGCCTGCTTGCATGAATGGCTTCAACGAGACCAAGAACACGGTGCTCGGCGACACTGACCAAGCCCGAAGTCATCGAATGTTTCTATTTTATTACAGTCAAATCCTCGAGGTCGGACGAACTTCAACGCCGTCGATACCACCTCGGACTCGTCCTACACTGTCACCCGTCATCTAGATCTTATCCTCACCCTCGAGATTCACCGGCACATTCATCGCCATCGCCACCATCGCGACATCCACCTTTGTAAACACACACACCACCCTGCACACAACTCGATGGTGCGCAATCGTATCGCAGTAGCCCGGGATATCCGTGCCGAGCTCCTTCATTGCCCGACGCGTCAGCAACACGAGTGTAAGGCAAGCATTTTACACGTACCAAGACATCGCGATTCCGCAGCTCGCACGAGAAGGATCCTTGGCCCTCGGGGCTCAGCCGTCGCCCGTTGACGAACGTCCCGTTGGCGCTCCCGGTATCACGGATGTATATCTGCGCGTCATGCCTCAGTTTCCATTGCTGGTAAACTCGATGAACGGACCTTCCCATCCTGCTCCCAAACCTCCGCATGCCGACGACTGACAACCGGCGAATCGAAATACGCTCCAGGCTTGTAGAGTTGTTCTTCAACTTCAAGTGATGGCTTGCGCGCGGGAGGCAGCCGCCCGAGGGGGACGCGCTGGCCCGGGACGTTCAGCAGGAGCTGCTTGGGGATGAAGAACGCTTTTTGCAGCGTGTCATCATGGTTCAAGTTCTGGGCAGCGTCACGACTCGGATAGGCGCTGAGCGGGTAAAGGTAGAGCGCGGGGTAGACTGGCGAGAAGAGGATCATGGGCAGTGGGGATGCCATAGGGAAGACGGGCCTGCTGCGGTGTAAATACGCTGCGGAGACGCCGGCGAAGGAAGGGAATGGAAGGGGCCAGAAGCGTGGACTCGGGGGGAGAGCATGTACCTCTACTTCGGATGAGGTCAAAATTATGTACGTTCTACTCTTTTTTTAAAAGTTTCACGCTGAGATCATCAAGCGTGGGCGCAGTTAGAACTCTTGTACACCTTGAACCATTGTCTCTCTGAGTTTGCTTTTATTGAATCTGTATTCAATCTGTATTGGAACTTGGAATGGACTGCTCCCTGTGGCAGCCTCGGAATAACAGACGTAGCAGAACCTGCACCGTCAGCTTAACCGGCTACCCATGATTGAGCATAACTCAGCTTGGGGGAGCAAATGAAAGGCCAAGATGTTTTGTTAGAATGTGTGATGCTGCAGGCATTCATAGAGATAGATTTCCAAAATACGGCTTTTGTACTATCAAGTCTCAGTCAAGTCGTCCTCTGGGGATTGTGTTCGCAACGGTGGAAACTTGGTTAAAATTGTGTGTGTATGAATCCAACGGAGCTAGAAAAGCTCGTGCCTGAATAGTTCCTGTGGATACTGTGGGATAGGGTTAGTATAAAATCGAGCGGAGAGGCTGTTGTCCTCTGTGAGATTTATTTGGTGGTCGTGGTAGGTGTGTAATAATCGAGCGGTGAGGCTGACATCCT